ACCATTGTAATTAAATAATTATTTAAATAAAAGTTAACATATATTTTTTAATAATAATTAATATGAAAAAAGTATAATAATTACATTCTTAACTTGTGCCTTAAAAATACATGTTAAAATAACTTATATTAATTTTAACATCAATTCTATGTATATAAATTTAATTGATTAATTATTAAAATTAAAATTAAAATTTATTTTTTATATAATTTAATAATTAAAAAATATATTAAATGTACCATTAAGATTTGTTCTAACAATACAGATTAAAAAAATATTCTTTATTTTATCACTAATAAACAGTAACCGGAAAGCCCTTGCAACTTTTCTTACAGATCAAGCACACAATTGCAAACTTCATCCTACCTGATAATTACATCATCTTAACGTGCAATATGAATTAATTTCCCCAACTTCAGAACAGAGACTATCGAATTAATACATAATCATCTCAGCAGAAGCCATGATGGGTTGATTATCACAGAAGGAAGCAGCACTGCCCCATGGATCGATGAAGCCTTCATCACTTAGCTGATGATCATCTCGAAACAGAACTCCACTGCTTGTGTTTATGAAATCAGTGATTTCATTGAGAGATTGCAACCTGGTGCTGAGCTCAACCATCTGAGCTCGAAGAATAGAGTTCTCTGCCTCGAGGTTCAAGTAAAGTTGTGAAGTGATGTTCAATCTAGTTCTGATCTGGTTGTTCTCTCTGGTGAGCTCCGATACCTGAGCCATCAGATCATCTAGATGCTTCTGTTTCCTCATCCTGGACCGTCGTGCGGATTCCCTGTTTGATTGCATTCTTTTGCGCTTCCTCTGTTCCATAACCTGCTGCAAATCCTCATCTGAACTCGACGAGCTTTTCATCATGCTTGAAGCTGAAGTACTAGAAGAAACCATAATAACCCAAAAAAAAAAAAAAAAAAACAACGACAACAACAACAACAACAACAACTAGATTATGCTTAAGAAAAAGGGACAAAGCACAGGACCCAGGGGATAATTATTTAAAAAAAAAAAAAAAAAACTTGGGATTGGGATTATATAAGAAATACTATAGGAGATTAAAGCAGAGGAAGTGGGAGTTTATGAGAAAACGTAGAACCAGTAGAGGAAAACAACAGAGAAAGATTGAACAAGATGGGTCCTGCGCCGAAGGGTGGAATTGATCATAAAACCAGAAAGGAGGATTTCACTGATTACAGGAGACATGAGTGATCTCAAACATCTGGAAATCCAAAGATGTTGGGTTTTGAGAATGAACAGAGAGATTTGGAAACAGAGAGAAAGTTGCAAAATTTTACAGGGAAATTAAGATGGGAAGGGAAAGGGGTCGAGGGAGGATTTGATTCTGGAATTTATAAACAGGAAATTGCCCCACTGGGGAAGAGATAAAGTAATAGAGGAGACAGCACATAGAAGGTTGCATTAAAAAAATTGGAAAAAACAGGGGATGGTGTATAGAAAAGAACAGAGGTGACGTTCGTCCATGGAGGTTTGCAGCACGCGCAAAGTTTATATTGTGGAGGTAATTGTTTAATAGTTTGAAATGTAAAAGTCTCACAGTTAAGAATAAGGGAATGAATAAATTTACATATATTTATCTTTTGTTTATAAATAATTATAAAAAGTTAAAGTTAATGTCTACAAATTTGGAGTTTAGCCCTAGTATGTTACATATTATTACATAGATAGACATTTGGACACTTGAGACTTCTCAGAGCTTCGGTCTCTCAAAAAAATTATTTTTTAACTAATTTTGAAAATTTTATATTAATTAATTCTTTAAAATTAAAAGGACATATTTGAATTTGAGATATAATTTTTGACGGAAGGTATATTTTTAAAATGATGTCTTTTGGTAGAGACATATTCAATTAGTAAGTATTTTTCTATAGAGAATATCTCTTAATTGATATTTATTTAGATAGTATAAATTTTTTTTTATAAAATTTATGTTTTACACTTAATTTTAAGAAAACTTTTAAATTTTATTATATCTTAAAATAATTTTAAATTTTTTTAAAAAAAAAAGTGTGATCACAGTTTAGAACTTTTTTATTCTTCTGTTTTTCTTTATCTTTTCTCAACAGTAATTGCCGTGAACAGAGCACCGAAAGAGGCAAAGAGCCCAAGCAACATCGACGTATCATGTTTTGTCGGCTTAAACGTGTCGTTTTTCTTGCAAGTTTGGCCTACCAAAGACGGCGGTAAAATTGTAACCGTATGCTGCTCGCCGTTATTATCTTCCGAAATGCCCTTTTTTTGTTGAAAAATGAAAATAGGAAGCTAAAGTAAGCTCATAATTCATGAGGCTTTGAAAATGTTTCTTCGCTGTTTTAACTTCTATTTTTTTTTTTAATTTTAAAATATATAAAATATTAATTAAAATAAATATTAAATATATTATATATTTTTGAGATGTTAAAGGACCAAAAATTTATAGTTACCGTTATAAATCAGTATTGTTTAACTAAAACTTAAATTTAGGCTTGAATTAGTATAATTATGATTTTTTTACTTTAATTTTAATTTCTATAAATTTTTTAAGTATTGAAAACCAAAATTAAAAATAAAAATCAAACAATGTTTAAAATGGTTTTTAACACCAATTATGAAAAGAAATAAACTTGTTTAATATTATTAAAATTATTTTTACTCTTACTTCTCTAATAATTATGATAATATGTTATGAAAGCACATAAAAATAAATGAATTTTTTGTTGGAAATTACCAAAATTTATAACAAATAGAGCAAAATACTTAAAATCACAATCATACTAAACATAATCTTCATTTTCTTTTAAAAAAATGATTCACATTGTTTTATTCATCATACGTATGAGATACATGGTATGATATGCATTACGTTGTATGTCTATTTTTAAGAAAACAATTACTAACATGCATGTACTCCTTGAAAGATGAACAATTAGAAATGGTCAGAACTACGGGATTCTTGAGTGAACATCTAAGTAGGAGTAGTATTTTTATTTTACCTTACTTTTTGTCATAATTATTAGTTGGTTTTTAGGTTCTAAGATGATTCCTAAGGTCCAAACCTTAATTAGCACATTTTCCTTCTATGATAAGTAACCCATAAAGTCAGGAAGCCCTCAATTCAAAGACTGGGGAGAAAAGTTCAACTTTTCAAACATATTGCTAAAGGAAATACACAGATTAAGATAAAAAGAAGGGCAAAAGGAGGCCTGTTGGGGTCAGTCAAGTTGGTCCAAATCTGTCCAAATGAATTTCACCAACAAGGCTGCGGCAGCAAAGCGGCCGGCTAAGCTTTTCTTCTTTTCGCTCAAAGATTTTGACCAATCTCTTGAAACTAGAGGCAACAATCTTATTCTTACGTCAATTTATTTTCATTTTCTCTTGTAAATGCCTTTGCTTCCCTTTGGACATCACAACCGAAAGTACACTTGAAGGGTCTTGGTTAGAACATCTAACATAGGACTTTGGAAGCTATAAAACATAACACATAACATCTTGTAATGAGGGCATGCAATAGCATGAGTTTTGAGGCGAGGAAATAATTCCCAGGCACCATGGGAAGTCGTCAACAGTTGTTAAAGCACACAAATCTCGACTAACCTATCATATGCAATTTTTTTGTTAAAACAAAAGGTCATATATTTCTTCTCTAGCTCTAGAGAGCTACATATGCATAGGTGCCGACAGGAAGATTCTCCAACACATGGTTTAAGCCTGTAAGATTCCCAGGATCATTTTTTTTTTATTTTTTGGCTTGTCGGTGGAAAATTAACAATTCTTTTCAACTGAATAGAAGGCACTAAGGCAGGAAGTTTCTTTGCTCCTTCACTTTTGAAATCACTTCTTTCATGGGGGCAGTAAGTAAAAAATGAAACTTCATATTGACGAACAAATCTCAGCCTCCGAATAAGAAGAAGATAGAATTTGGATGAATACTTTCCAATATTTGACTTATAGCTAACACCTCGTTTGATTTAGCTATTAGGAAACAATTGATAGCTATTTATCACTTATTCTCTAACAGTTAAACCGATCGAACAGGGCTTAAGATAAGCAGTGCAATGGTTGATCAAAAAGATAACCTAAAAGGTGAGAAGAGGAAGTGTAGAGTGTTGATTTCTTGAAGATGTAATGTAATTGGAACTAGGTTGGGCCCTTACAGGTTTCTGAGTTTCATTGGAACAGGCTGCAGAATGAAGTCGTGCAGATTGGAAGCAGACAAACTAAGGAAGTTGGGCAGATATGCCTTGCTTCCTCCAGAAAAATGTTACTCATTCTTCATCTAAACTATAGAAAGCTTAGAACTCGTTAAACTGGAAAAGAAAATCAACAGAACAAACATAAAATATTATAACATGAGAGAATTCCCTTTCTTGTTTCTCTACATTTATAAGATTGATGCCAATTATGCATCACAAATAGAACATGATACTAAAAGCATCCTATTTACATGTTATGTGATATAATGTCTACCATTAGGAACTCAAACTAACAAACAAGATGTTAAAACAAAATCGCAGTGGCAAGGACTAAGGAATAACCTCAATAGCAAGCTTCTAGGTGAAATAATGGAATTGCTTCTGTTCTGTAGGTGCACTGTAAAGTACTTAAGAATTGCCTACGGAGTGGCAAATGCAGCCTCTGGATGGTAGTGGAGCATCTCATGCCACATCATCTCCCTAATCATATGTTCATCCATGTTCTCATCTATATCAAGATCGAGAGGCACCTGAGCAGGTGGATTGCTTCTTGGATCATAAAGTCCTGACATGTAAGGGTGCAGGAGAGCTTCTGTGACAGTAATTCTCTTCGTTGGGTCAAAAACCAGCATCCTTTGCAGCAGGTCAATGGCTAATGGATCAGCATGGGGGTATAGATGGGAAAAGTGAGTGCCCCTAGAGTATGGAAGTAATTTGATATACCTTCTGGCTTTTGGATTATCAATGAACTCAATATCAGCCTCTTTCTGACTTCCAAGGACATTGATGATCAATTTAAGTTGGTTAAGGCACTCAGTTCCAGGAAAGATAGGTTTCCGGCCAAGAATCTCAGCAAAGATGCATCCTACAGACCAGACATCAATGGAGGTACCATAATTATCACAGCAGAGGAGAAGCTCAGGTGCACGGTACCAGCGGGTGACAACATACTCTGTCATGAATTGTTCATTGCCTCTACTAGTGCGTGCCAGTCCAAAATCACATATCTTCAAATCACAGTTTGCATTGACCAGGAGGTTCCCAGGCTTCAAGTCTCGGTGAAGGATGTTTGCTGAGTGAAGGTACTTCAAACCTCGCAATAACTAAAATGTTTAGATAGGTTAGTCCTTCTCTCAAGTAGAGAAACAGTTCACAAATATAAGATATACACCCAAAGCTTCTTCTACTGAAAAACAATCTCATGCATTCTGCAGGTATTACCTCTATCTACAGCATTTTCATTTTTAATCATGTTTAGTTTGCAAGATAGTCATGATCATTCCTATATCTCTTAGACATGCTTCCTACATTTATTATATTTCCATAATCCATATCTAACCCACAAATAATTAAAGGCTTAAAGCAATAAGTCGTACAAAATTAATAAAACAGTTGGGTAAAAATCAAAGTAAAAGAGAAGGTAAATGCTTGTAGACTTGATTGATGAGCCCCATTCTGGTTCCCTATTATTGTAAACAAGGTACAGCTATAGAGAGAGTTTCCATGACACCAATTTTAGCTTGAATAAAGCTAACTGATAGATTTGTAAAGCACCAAACTACAGTTGATAACCACTTTAACAAACACATTAAAGTACAATTCAATACCCAATTAGTACCAACGCTATAATCTTTAGCACTCATATTAAAATCAATTACGGTCCAGCTAAAGGGATAAACTTTATACCTGAAAGATAAAGTACTTGCAATGATCATTAGAAAGTGGCTGCGAGGACTTGATAATTTGATGCAGATCGGTATCCATAAGCTCATAAACCAGATACACATCCTTAAAACTGGTTTTTTGGGTAGGCATCATAACATCCTTCAAAGCAATCACATTCTCGTGCCGAATGTGCCTAAGAAGCTTCAACTCCCTCAGAGTTCTCAAAGCATCTATCCGATTCTCAAACACATTGTTGATCTTCTTTATAGCCACTTTCTCATTGGTTTCCCTGTTGATTGAAGAACACACGACCCCATATGCTCCTCTCCCTATAGGCTTGATGGGAACGTACTTGGTGTCAATCTCGAAAAGGGTTTGCCACATCGAATAGTAATGCTTCCCGCGCGGCCTCACTCCGTTGGGAGGCTCCACAAGCGTCGCCATATCTCTGCAAATCAGAGCAACAGGAACCAAGTAAACCCAATTGACATCAAATTCACTTGAATTAAAAAGGAAGGGTTTAGAATCGATTCTTACTTGCTGCCGCTTCTACTTCTTTGCTTCGATCTTCTGCGATCAGCTTCTTCCCTTTTCCCTTTACTTTACTCACAAAACAAAGAAAAAGGAATCACCTTTTCACCTCTCCTCTCCTAACCTTTCAACCCTTTTCGAACTTCTACTGCAACTTCCAAATTATTCGATCGGAGCTGAGAAAAACTTCAACTTTGAGCTCCATTCTCTTCCCCAGTTGTTCATATTCCTCGGAAACAACTAGCAACTACGTTGTTCAAAATCCAGAACCGGAATCCTGGAAGAACAATGCAGTACTCACGTATATGAACCCTTATCCGGAAGGAAAGAAAATCGATCTGATTTATTTAGGGATTTTGGATTGCCTATCTAGTAAAGATCAAGACTTGAGAGAGAAAGGGACGCAATATATATTACATATATATTGTCCTGATCCTAATAAAGTTCGTAAATAAAAATATCCAGGTTGTTTTGAATTTTATATTTAGGTGTTAAATTATTCTCCCACCATTAAAACCTTTATATTTTTTCAATAAATTAAGATAAAATAATTAATTTAAAAAATTTCATTATTATTTATTCTGAGACATATAGATT